GTTTTATTCGGCCATAAAACCAGCTCACAGACAAAGAAGTGTCTGATGTGAATGTGTTTGGTTCGTCGATGGAACTTGGTATTCTGAGTCAATTTAATTGCAGCTTCGTTGTCAACTTTCAACACTGGAATTGACTTTAGATCCAGAATTCCATCAAACAAGCGTTTTATCCACCCAATTTCCTTAGCAGCTTTGCTAGCCGCCACTATATCAGCTTCAGTCGTTTGATATCTGTCCTTGGCTTAGCCACGTGATTGCCCCATCAGCAAACATACCTACGTAAAACTCCTGAAGTTGAGCGTCCTGCGTGGTTTCATCGCTACCATGATCTGCGTCACTGAATGCTTTAATTTATTTTGGTACTCCTGTTTATATATCAAACCAATCTCAATGGTACCTTTTAAGTAACGTGACATTCTTTTAACTCTTCCAACATCCCTACTCTTTGCATGGGCGTCGTTACGAGGTTTCACAGGGGGGGGCACTATTATAATAAGACCATTTCCATTAGCGCCGCAGGCAACCGCCGTAGGCTAATTTTTTTCGGTGCCACGCCCCTTTTTGAGCATTTTAACGTACTTATTCGATATCGATATTTGTTAAAAATGATGGTATTTTTTTCCGCAACAAATTCACTGTCCGTATCATTTGTTAAGGTAATTTTCCAATGGCCGGTATTATAAAGCACTGAATCGATGATTGAGTTTCAACCTTCGGTTGACTCCATGCAAATTGATAGGATGCAACCGAAGGTTGGAACTTGAAACTCTACCATCGGTTCAGTGTTGAATATAATGAAAATGTCAGCCAATTTTTTAAAGTACAGTAGACTCGCGCTAGTGTGAACACAAAAAAACCGGACGTGTTCATATTATCGAGACGTTCACACACACTATCGCAGGTCTACCTAAAAATGCAAAATATTGTCAGCAATGGTCTCGAAACTTAAAATTCAAGAAAAATTAATACCATATAGGTACTTGCAAAATCCATTAAGTAAATTTTCCCAGTTTATTGATTAAAGTGAGATGTAATTTTTGTCTAAATGGTTCTACCTGAGCATTGGATGGCTACCTACTTTGTCTTAAAGTTTCTTAGGCTTTCTGTGTCATTAGCGCGAATATATGCTATTGCCTTGCTGGCAATCTTCTACAATTTTTGACTTCTCATAAGGTCTGTTCTCACAAAAGTCCCTGACAATTTGCAAACTGTCAGTAACAATCGCTCAGCTAAGATACTGAGTTACCTTGGAATGACGGCATTGAAAACATGCATGGGCGATGCATTCTGACAGTTTGCAAACTGTCAGAGACTCTTGTGAGAAGAGACCCATAGAGAGTTGGAAAAATTGTGTTTTTCGCCATTTTTACAAGACTGATTAACCACAACAAACAACGAACTGAAGATTTATAGAATTTTGAACGTGCTCTTGACGCGCTACCACTTGCGTATTCCACATTAGAGTGAATGCAGTAACTCAATATATCTGTGCGTTCCTTGTCTCAAAACCAACTTCATAATTGGATAGAAACAATCGATGAAAACAACAAGTAAACAGAAAACGGTTAAATTCGTAGTCAAATACATTGTTCATACTACCAATATTCTCAAAAGTTCACACTACAGAATATGTATAATGTATTCATTCTGGCTGTTCATACTGGGAGGTTCACAGAAGCGTGTGTTCACACTAGCACGAGTCTACTGTACCTAAAAAATTTTGAAAAAATGGAGAAAAGCAATACGAATACGAACTCTCTTTTACTGTTTTCTTGTTCAAAAGACTATTTCTAGGGGGGGGCAAATGCCCCCCCTTGCCCCCCCCCAAACGACGCCCATGACTCTTTGTATGTTTCCGGGAAACAACACTAACTGCATAGGCATTAGGCAATGTCTGGTTGAGTGCTTGTCATCAAAAACATTAAGGCCCCAACAGCCTCTCTATATTAAAATGTAGTTGTCGTGTTTAATTCTTCCTCCCTAATTGTACACCTTCTTTCACCGTTAGCGTCAATACAGTTTCACAGTTTTGCATTCTTCTAAAGCTGTCAAGACTTTTTCTTGTATAAGCTGTTCGGCTCACTTCTACTGCACCATTTTCAGTTCTTCTAATTTCTAAACCCGAAAAATAGGAAGCTGGTTTAATGGTATATTTTAATTCTCTTCGTAAACTTTCTGAGAAGGAATCCTTTTTTGTTGTTGGTTGGCGCCAAGAGTCCATCATCTATAATACTAGTAGAAGTGTGTATTCTTCAGTTTTCTTTATAAAGAATCAAGGTTCGGTATCTGATCTTCTAAAACCAAGAATTTCTATGTAATCGGTAAGTCTTTTATTCCAACATCTAGGTACTTGTTCTAGTCCATAAAGAGTGCGCTGAAGTTTACAGACCATGTTACTTTCATCTTCATACCCCTCTGGTTGCTTCATATAGACTTATTTATTTAGTTTTTCATAGAGAAATGCAGTACATTCATCGAACTGCGTGAGTGTCATATTTTTGCTAGCAGCAACACTGAGAAGTGACCCAATTGTTCCTCCCTTGGCTACAGGACTGTAATTCTGGTCGTAATCTTCACCTTTTCTTTGCGATCAACCTTTGATAACTAGAGATTTGTACTTGTCAATGGACCCATCTGGATTGGTTCTCACTTTATACACCCATTAACATGGTACTGCCTTCTTTCCTGGTGGTAACCTCTGAACCTCTCAAGTACAATTTTCTTGTAGTGACTGTATTTCTTTATCCATTGCCAAAATCCAATTGTCTTTATCATTGCAAGTGATAGCATCTTTGTAGCTTAGTGGCTTCTATGGTTCGCTCATTTCTCCAGCAACTGTCATAACCAACAGGTTTTTTTAGCTCTGTTCTCTCTCTCAGTTGTTTTCTTGTTTCAGGTTGATCTTCTTGCATTGTTCCATGAGTATGCTCATTTTCTGTCGGATCTTTCATTTCCAAACTTGTATCTGTTCGGTCTGGTATCTCCAAAAATGTGAATTAGTATGATTTTGATCTGGTATTCTCCAGAGAACTGTTCTTGTTCTATTTGATCTTTAGGTTCATTATTTGATGAATTCTGTTACTCTTCTTCACTTAGAAAAGTTTCATTGGTTTATGAGCAATGAAACAAATTTCACATGGTTGACGGCAAAGGGGTTTTATTAGGATCAAAATTACCCTCTTTTATACCTGGTAGGGCTGAAACTAGTAATCTCGCGACATTTTTACTTCAAGGTTGATCTCAGTGACCTCTTTTTGTATGAAAACGACACCAAACTCGGCCCAATTAAAATGGTTTATTTTAATTTTTTATTTATTTCTTTAAAGGCCGCCATTTTGAACTCAGATGGTCGGGAGTCATTGTGCTTCGGGTCAAATCAATTCTTTGAAGCTCTGCACTAGACCTGCAGAGCACCATGCTTTCTGCAAGAAAAGTTACTTTTTTTGCTTATAGTCGAGTCAGTTGAAACAAAAAATTAAAGTTAGCGAGTTGCTAACAAAAAAACTCATTTGTGAACAAAAACGATGTCGAAGTCAAAATTTGCGTACCTATTTAAATAGGTATCTTAAAGAGAAGTGGGTTTGCATTTCAATAGATCAAGATCCGCTATGTGGCAATTTATAAACAAATATTGCAGCCGCAACCGTGATTATCAGAAGTCTATCTCTTTGAATTGGAAATGTGGCCTTCCAAATTTAATGCGCATAATAATATTATGCATGGTCGATTGCAAGCAAATCGATGGAGAAATGACGCAAATTCGAAAATTTTTCCATATTGGGTAGGTAGGTACCTACACAGTTTGGAGTTATTGCCTTATGCGTTCATGGTCTTGAGAAATGACTCTCATGTTCGGTTTATTCATCTTCTGATAAACTTGCTAGTATCTACCTGCAAGATAAATTTACCGTTCTATAATTCTATTCGTCGGCGGATAACTGGCCGACCAATGGGATTACAGATTGCGTACCTGAAAGATTATCGGAAGGTGAATAAACCGGCCCTCAGACTAATATTTTAAATTACCTAGGTACTATAAAAATTTACTTCGTCTTAAATAAATGAGATTGAGATATTTTAATGAGTATGCCCTTTTAGGCTTCCTACTTTTATTTAATAAATAATTCAAACTACGTTGCATTCAAATCGCTCAATACGTATCTAATTTGTCCATTCATTGAAATTAATTATCCCCATTTTTCTTACATTCACTGTATTAGCAAGTCATTAAAAAAATCTAGGTATCTTATTAAATCAGGTGCATAATATTATAGGCAGAAAAAAAATTATATTTTATTCAAGGTTTTGCTGCTCTCTCACTATCAATAATTATGTAAAAAAGTGAATTGTTGAAAACGAAACATATTATTAAATCAATTACCTATATGATCAAGTTTCCTTTGTGTTAGCGTGTTACATTAGCAGCGCTAATATAAAACAATTAATAATTTTTTTAAAAAAACTATTTTTTTGTAAATTTTCAGTTTCTTTTTCTTTTATCCAAATAAAGTTCTCGTCCACAATTATTACTGAACGAATTTTAGGTAAAATATTTAAGTATATTGGAGCTAACAGCGATATTACTTGATATTACTCTATGAACACACAGCTTAAATTTTCAAAATATTTTTTTCCAAAAAAAAGGGTACCTAGATATTTTGAAACGATATTCGAATTCTGCTTATTTAAGTTTTTAAGCTCAAATATTTCGCAAAAATTTCAAAGCAGGCGTTTCAAAAGAACCAATAATTAATATGCAAACTTGCAAAACAAGAGTTATTGAAATGAATTTTCAAACAAGTTCCATCATTGATATTTAGAAATTCGACAAGCAAACAATCAAACAGATTTGCCCCGATGCTGAAATCTTTAAATCAAACCTTCATTGCGCTTTCCGAAATTTCTTATGTCTTCTCGTTTTGTTGTTAACCACTATAATATTGATGTTTAATTAAAAACAACATACAATTATAATAATAATAACACTTATTATAACTTACCATGATTACAATCGCTACACCACTTCTTTAACAGAATACAAAAGAAACACCAGATATCGTTTTCTACCTCACAGTTCCGTCAAGAGTCACCTACTTTAAACACTGAAGTAACTCGGTACTACTTTGCGCGATGCAGCGCGCAGCTTCTAAGAAAGTAAACGGACTTAAGTGCATTTGTTTTAATGCATTTTAATTTTCTTTCACTGGTTCCCTTCACCTTGCAACTTGAACTTGCATCTAATAATTACAGTTTTAAATATCGAAAACAATAATAATATTTTACCGAATTATTGAAAAATGTGGTACCTGCTGACCTGACTTGCTGTTGCAAGACTTAAAAACGACTGCGAGTGTGTATGTATGTGTTTACCTTTCACTAGTAATAAGAAGTGAGACCCAGGGTATATTTTCTTGATTATGTGACGGCAATTTCAATTTCTTTCTGGTTTCTGCAATAGAATTCTTGACCTTTCTCAGGTTCTCAGGTGATTTAAATATAATGTTACATAAGCGATTGCCAAATTCGGATTTTGTTTAATAATAATTGTCGGTATCGTTACGTTACATGACCGCATGATAATGCAATTCATTTAATTCATTCATTAATCCAACATATTATACTCAATATATTATAACACAAGATTTAGGTTACTCAAGTCAATAAGTGTATGACCCAATGATAAGTGAACAGTAAAATCAATAAAAAAGTCTACGAAAGATTTGGTTTGAGTGGTGTGAATGTGTTGTCCGACAGATAATTGTCCCGACCCTAGAAATTCCGAGACGAGCAAAGTCAAATTCCGTGCATGGTCCGAAATGTAATTCTCCCGACGATAGGTATTTAGCCCGACCGTGGAAATCCCGACTAATTTGTTTTGTCCCGCCCTAAAACTGGTACAGCCTACAGGCAAATTCGGTTTAGTTCGGTACTTATCTACATTGTGACTGGGTATATAAAACAGGAAAAATGAGTGAGAACACAGAATCCACAAAGGAAATTCATGAAATTAAATTTAATTTTTATGACTCTAGGTTGGCAAAAATAAGGAAATAGATAGTGCACAACTATTAAAAAAAAACGCATTAAAAGGTGTTCCAATAACTCTGAAAAATAAAGTTGACCAATAAAATGTGGTCGGTTTTGAATAGTTGGAATTTCCAATAACTTTTTATTAAAATATTTGAAAATGTCGTGGAAAATTACCAATATTATTCATAATTATAGCTCATTTTTCGTATTTTATAATACCTACCCAGTCGGAATGTAGGTAGATACTGACCTACACATAGTTTGACTTTGGTGACGCCGTTATATCGGGATTTCTACGGTCAGGAAAATACGGACTTCGACTTTAGTGACGCTGTATGGCGATTTTTATGGCCTGGAAAAATACTGTCGGGCTAATTACGCACTACCTTCGTCACAAGAAACTCTTGAATTGAGTCGACTTGAAACTTGGTGCGCATTCCGAGGAGAGTCTCGTTTTGAAACGCGTGCAAATTCCCCTTTGGTGTCTTGGCTTAGCAAAAAGTTGTTGAATCATAAAGCAAAGATGGTCTAAGAACTTGCTCATAAACCAACAGTTTGTTCTTGAGTAGGAGTTCACTCTTCCCAGTCTGACAGGAGGAATTCGGGAGACAAGTTAATGAATAGGTGGCAATGATATGATGAATGATGAATATTCTAAAATTTTATCCGCGCACGAAGCTTTTATTGTGAATTCTCCTAGTCAAAAACTTTTTACTGTTTTTTTACCTGTTTCGAAAAGATTGGAATCGGACTGCATATGAAGGAAGAGAAAGACAATCGAAATAAATTAATTTCATTCCAAAAGAGAACACAAAGTCTTTCTATACAAAATACTATAATCAAGCGCCCTACATTTTCCAAGGCTAGAAAATCTCATCATCAGGGGCAACTTTGCTCACATATTACAAAATAGTTTGGGTCGCTAGACTTCGCATTTGGAAGAGGAAAAGAAACAGAAAGTTAAAAAATTAAAAGTTAAAATACTAAGGGTGAAGACACAATGACAAATACAAGGTACAAGAGACAGATACAAAATACCAAAAACAGGGCCGCAACTAGAACCTAGAACCCTCGGCGAGCAAGGCAAGTCCAAATTTTGACGCCCCTCCACCGCCTTCTCAAAAGTAACAATAGATATATTTTTTGATGCTTTGGTTTTTGCTTGAAATTTTTTCAATACATTTTCGAAATATATAATTATGACACATTAAATCAAAAATATTTATGTACTAGGTAGTAGGTAAAGTCTGTTTTTCTTTAAAGATAATTCCCCAAGTCAAAAATTTAGTAACTTTGTTGGCAACACAAGCCTTTTCTTCATAAAAAAATTTGAAAGCATTGACAATTTTACATTGTATTGCCAACATAATGTCATTTTGACTTTTATCTTTAAAAAAAAAACAGATTTTACTGAGTGCATACTTAATTGCATTGGATTTCAAATGGAAAATAAAAACTGATAATGTGCAAATGGAAAACGCCATTATTTTATCGCGAACAGTTTTGAAACGAGTGCTCCAGACTGTCTAATAAGTAAACGAACGTTATGTGTCAATCCTGAAGTTCTTGCTAAAATCCTAGAACCGCTAGACCTGGTTCAGAAGCGGTTCCGAACCGATTCTGGTTGATCCGCGAATCCAGAACCGTAACTAAAAGTTCGGAATTTTGTGATCCGCGAACGCCATTACTTGAACTGCGCATGCGAAATAGTTTCGAACCAGTTCAGAATCCTTACCGTGAACGAAGCTATTGTAAAAGTAAAAGCTGTTTACGGAAACTATGATCGGGTTAACCCGATCGCCAGCAGACGTATTTTGTCTTTTTTCAATCGTATTCATTAAGGAAAGATAGAAAACATTCAGCTGCTGATCGGGTTAACCCGATTATAGTTGCCGTGAACGGCTAAATAGAAAAGAGTCAAAAGAGATAATGCATGCAGCATGCAGAGGGCGCCAATGTCGCCTACAGTGCTCTTGCTCAGTTTGGTCGGATCAAAGCTCGACTCGCAGCTAATCTCTGGCTAACGAATGTTGGGCGCTACACGTCATCAATACTTGAATTTATCACAGACATTGCAATTTGCTGCTGCCTTTTGCATGCGCACCGTGTTTGACATAATTTATATGATTACTATCGATATTCGTATTGTTGATGGCTGACAAAGAGAGATGTAACACAAGCAAAATAAGTTTCCGTGCTACGACAAATGACGCGTAAAACCGTTGCATTTTTTTGGATTGTAAAATATGGATGGATTAAATTAGGCGCCTTCGGCGCCCCGATACTTTGGCGCCTTAGGCGGGCGCCTAGTTCGCCACCCCCTAGTTGCGGCCCTGACCAAAAAATCGAAATTTTGTATCGTGGAATGGCAAGTAAATTGTATCCTGTATCCACTTATTCTGGGTTATAGCATTGATACACGTGTTATTATATTTTTATCTCTTGTCACTTATACCATGTATTTGTCATTGTGTCTTCAGTCTAACGCCCAGTTTCACAATGTCTGGTGACCTTCTTGGTCACTTAACTAATCCGTTTACAGTAACCAATGGTTAAGGCATATAGCGTTTCACAGCAAAAAAAATGTGCTGGTGAATTAACCAATATTTTGTTTTAATTTTTCTTAGGTTGTCAGGAGAGACTGTTCAATCAAATATAAACAAACTATATATTTTTGGAATCGGGGCATTGTGCTCTTCAAGAAAATAGAAAAAAAATATAGGGTATCCCATTTGAAAAAAGTTGGAAGCATGCAAAATTTCACATTTCTGACATTTAAATTTTGTTTCTAACCATGGTTTCTAAAAATTCAACCAAAACTTCACAACTTTTGTATTTACACCTTTCTTCTACCTGTAAAGGTAAAGGCTGTAGGTGGGGTGTTAATATATAAAAAAACACCCTGTACAAATAAGTGGATTATTGCGGAACTTATGGGTGGACCTCTGCGGGACGAGCGCACCGAGTTCCGCAGCCATCTACTCACCAATATACTGTTGAACTGTTCACGTAAGACATTCATCTAAATGTAGTTTTTGAACTAATGAGAAAAACTCACAACTGAGAAAATCAAGTTAGTATGTACCTACTTGAACAACATATTGGTGAATAGATGGTCTACCCATAAGTTCCGCAACAATTCACTAGTTTGTACTTGAATAACTTTGTCACATTATGTTACTGGTTTGGTAGAGTAACAATACTAATTCCTGATGAAATGCAAATTGACAAAAAGTGAATAATCTTATAAATTCTGACTTTATATAATAAGTTATTGTTCAAGTACAAATAAGTGGATTATTGCGGAACTTATGGGTGGACCTCTGCGGGACGAGCGCAGCAAGTTCAGCAGCCATCTACTCACCAATATACTGTTGAGCTGTTCAAATAAGACACTCACCTGAAACGTGTGGTTTTTAAACTAATGAGAATAACTCACATTTGAGTGAGTCAGGTTAGTATCGTACTTAAACAACATATTGATGAATAGATGGCTGCAGAACTCGCTGCGCTCGTCTCGCAGAGGTCCACCCATAAGTTCCGCAACAATCCACTCGTTTGTACTTGAATAACTTGTCACATTATGTTACTAGTTTGGTAAAGTGACATTATTAATTCCTGATGAAACGTAAATTGACGAAAAGTGAATAATCTTACAAGTTTTGACTTCATATAATAAGTTATTGTTCAAGTACAAATAAGTGGATTATTGCGGAACTTATGGGTGGACCTCTGCGCGACGAGTGCAGCGAGTTCCGCAGCCATCTATTTACCAATATACTGTTGAACTATTCAAATAAGACACTAACCTGAAACGTGTAGTTTTTGAACTAATGAGAATAACTGACATTTGAGTGAGTCAAGTTAGTATCGTATTTGAATAACATATTGGTGAATAGATGGCTGCGGAACTCGCTAAGCTCGTCCCGCAGAGGTCCACTCATAAGTTCCGCAACAATCCACTCGTTTGTACTTAAATAACTTGTCACATTATGTTACTAGTTTGGTAAAGTAACAATACTAATTCCTGATGAAAGGCAAATTGGCAAATAGTGAATAATCTTATAAATTCTGACTTTATATAATAAATTATTGTTCAAGTACAAATAAGTGGATTATTGCGGAACTTATGGGTGGACCTCTGCGGGACGAGCGCAGCAAGTTCCGCAGCCATCTATTTACCAATATACTGTTGAACTATTCAAATAATACACTCACCTGAAACGTGTACTTTTGAACTAATGAGAATAACTGACATTTGAGTGATTCAGGTTAGTATCGTACTTGAATAACATATTGGTGAATAGATGGCTGAGGTCCACCCATAAGTTCCGCAACAATCCACTCGTGTGTACTTGAATAACTTGTTACATTATGTTACTAGTTTGGTAAAGTAGGTAACATTACTAATTAAAAGGCAAATTGACAAAAAGTGGATAATCTTACAAATTCTGACTTTACATAGGTAATAAGTTATTGTTCAAGTACAGGGTGTTTTCTTATATATTTAGACCCCATTTACAGCCTTCATCTTTACAGGTAGATGAAAGGTGTAAATACAAAAGTTGTACAGTATTGGCTAAATTTTTAAAATCCATGGTCAGAAACAAAAATTGAATG